TATATATATATATATATATATATATGTGTGTGTGTGTGTGTGTGTGTAACACGATTAGTGCATTTCCCAATTTCCCATCACTTTTGTTAGCTAAGTTGCAGCACATTGGATATATATACAACTATATAACAATATCATGACAATTGTATGTACTGTTTCTTTATGGTTTTAACAATATAAGTTTTCTAACAAGATTGAAACAGGTCCAAATGGATTCTTCAAATGTTTAATCTTTTATCCAAAAGATGTTTTCAATCACTTCAGACATGTCTTCAAACTGAAGAAGTCTTTTGGTTAAAATACAAAATGTTTCTTTAAAGAAGAATCGGTCCAGAGGTTCACCTGGATTATAGAGCATGCATCAGGACAAGATTAGGTTTTATTATTTTGTTTAAAATCATTAAATATGACTTTTCCTGCAGTGTATAAATATTCACAATAATGTAAGTTAATTGAACGATTATTAAAAAAAACTTATCTTAAATTTGAAAAAAGTTTCTGGACTTTCATTTTTAGATTTCAGCAATGTTGAACACAGACGATAAAAAAAACGTGATGTACAAATAAAAATAATTTTTAGCTCCACAGATCACACAATATACACAGCACCGACTATAAATTATTCCAAAAATAAACTATCATAGGAAAAAAAAAACATTTAGTTACTTTTAATATTTAGGAATAAATCAGCTAATTACTAAAATACAAAATAAAAATGATAAAATAACTTATTTTTTTCAAGTTGTGTTTCCTCAATCTGTGGAGACTGGATTTATTATCTTCAAATGTGAGTTTACCTTTTTCTTTTGAATTTAAATTTAAAACTTGATCACTCAAATAAATATTCAAATAAGTAGAATTATCTGAGAGGACGCTTGAGCTTTCATGTGCATGTTTTGTTACTATAAAATGTTCTTTTTGTTTAAATAAAAACTTGTTTTATGTAAGAAACAATTTGCACAGCTTAAAAAGTGTTTTGAAATAAATAAAAACATTTAAATTTAGCATAAAATTTCAGACCAAATTAAAACAATCTGGCTCAGCCTCACAAAAGAAGAAGCAAAGACCAACTAAAGTTTTTCATAAAATAAAAGTGTTCATTCATTCAATGTTGTAAAATGTCAATTTTAGTAATATTTTTCTGCATTATTTTACCCTGTAGTGAAGCAAAATGACAATCAACTCTATCAAATAAATCCTCACAAAAACTGAAATTATTACTTAGCTACTTAGTGTAAATTTATTGAGCTTTATAGATTACTTTGTATTTTATTTTGAAATAGTGTATTAAAAATAGCCTCATTAATAATAAATATCAAGAAATGGTCCCTAAAAGTAAAGAAACATCTCATTACTCCAATAAAAAAAAACATCTATTCATACAGTTAGTTTGTATTCCAGAAACACAGTAAAGATGGAAAATGTTTTTTCTGAAATAAAAAACAAACTGGTGATGAGTTTAATTGTGAAGGGAGCAGCATGTGCGCGCGCTCTGCTGGTTCAGCTCAGTTCGGATGGAGTGATGGGACCTTACCTGTTGCGCTGGATCGTGTTTCCGAGCTGGCGGCCTGCACAGACTGTCAGTTCTCTTCTGGGGAGGCAGGAGAGTCGACGTTTGAAAGCCAGGGAGGAGCCATGAGGAGGGACTGAAGCTCAGAAATACTCCTCCAAAACTGACAGGAGGTACATGTGATGGGTGCCTGTTGAGCTGCAAAAGAGTGGACTGAGCAGATTTATTTTACTGTCTACTTTTAAGATTAGACTTATTTCCTTTTTGATAAATCCAATAGCTAGGGTTGGTTGAGTTATCCCTTAGTTATGACTTAGACTGGAGGACAAATTGACCACATTTCCTCACTCTGCTGCTGTCTTTTCTTGTTCAATACCTGTTTGTATTTGTAATTCTTCCTATCAACGTGTGTTTTTTGTCTTTCTTCCAATAGAAAGTACACCTGGACCTGTCATTTTATGTTTGTTTGTTTCTCCTTTCTTTCCAAACCCCAGCCCATCGAAACAAATGGCCGCTCGTCCTGAGCCTGATTCTGCTGGAGGTTTCTTCCTGTTAAAAGGGAGTGTTTCCTTTCCACTGTTGCCTTTGTGCTTGCTCAGGATGGGAGACTGTGACGAAGAGAAGATTCAACACAATCTCCTCCTTAGATAAATAACTTTAACTAATTAGCTTTTACGTGAATGTTTTTGTACAGTGCCCTGAGACAACTTCTGTTGTTACTTGGCACTTACATATGATAAATAAACTGAACTGAATTGAATTGAATCACTCTTGTCCAAGTCAAAGACAAAAAAAAAAAAACTCTGAGGAGGAAGACACAATATTAGTTCAGAGACCTGACAGAGCAGACTCTCCTTGTAAAACAGAACTGAGTCAATCAGTGTTTGCACATGAATGTTACACATATTTTTATTAATTTCTTTGTTTGCAGGCAGCCATGTGTTTGGACAGCATCAGAGCCTTGGAACCCCTGCAACTATAGAAAAAGATGAATGTTGCACCAACATGAACAACTGTACAAACCATCTGCACAAAATACTGTCAAACCAACAAAGTGCCTTCACTTTGTTAAGACACAAGG